AAACCGCTTATGGCAACAGACCAGCATGCTAATGGAGTCAATCAAGAGACAGAATGAAAGAGAGATAAGAGTGTTGTGTGCACTAGAGGACAAAGAGGTTTTTGTGTGTAGGAGAGAAGCATCTATTGGCTGCTGGCATGAAACATTTAAAGGACAACAAGATTTGTCCTCCTCTCCCTCAGTCTGTCTCTCTTTTTCTGTCACCTCCATGTTTCATTCAAACCATCCTTGTCTCTCTTCTCCTCTCAGGTATTTTTGCAAGCGTGTGTAGTAGTAGTAGTAGGTGTGTGTGTGTGTGTGTGTGTGTGTGTGTGTGTGTGTGTGTGTGTGAGAGAGCGAGCGAGCGGGTGGAGGGGTTAGTTTTGTGGTTTGAGTGCTAAGTGAACGTGTCAGTGCCCAGGGCAAGGGGTCTCCCCAAGGGGCCGAACTCAGTGACGGGAGTACACATCCACTGGTGGCACAGACCATCTGCCCTCAGGGCATGTGTATGTGTGTGTGTTGAGATGCAGCGATTGTGTGAGTCTCCTGTCTGTCTCAAGATGCCTATGTGAGTAAATTTGCCTTTGTATGTGTCAGTCTACGTCTATTTCTTTTGTTTGTGCCCGCGTACATGTTGGCACTTGCATCAATGTGGGTTTTAATGTGTGTGTATCTGTTTGTCGCTCGGTGCGTCTTTGGGTGTGTGTGTGTGTCTGTGCCTTTCATCTGCCCATGTGTGCAAACTGTGCTTTTGACTGTTGGTGCTTGTTTATATGAGTGTGAGAAAGCTTGCCTCTTTGTGTGTGTTTGCGTGTGCGTGTATGTGTTAAGCCATACTAATGCACGATTCAGCCCTCAGGCCACTTTAACATTGTCTATTGCCCCCTTGCTTGTCTGTCTTCATGACTACATCTCTCACATAAAGAACGTGCACACCCAAATTTACATGCATAAGCATTTTGGGATAAAATTCAACCCCCACTCACAAGCACACACACACACTTAGTAGTTTTAGCTGTATCTGTGCCTGCAGGAACCATGAGGACATCTGCACAGTAAACACTAAAACCCCCTGAGCCCCAGTCCCAAATATTGCTCAGACTTGCACGCACTTATGCTCTTTCTGGCTCTCTCTGTCTGTTTCTCTCACTCACTCACACATGTACTGTACATACTCACACTGCAAACAGATAATAGCCCATATTCTCCAGAGTTCATTCTGTGGCAACACAATGTAATACATTGTTGTGCTCTGGTCTGGAGTCTTTTCCCCACCCACACTAATACACTCCCTCTCCGACCTCTCTGTCCCATTTTTTCTTCTGTCCATCTCTAGACCTTTGTGAGGGCATAAATGTGGCACGGGGGAATCCAACACCTTCAGGGAGGTCATTAGGAGCACATTTTGCTTTTTCGTACAAGCATCCAAATACATATTGGAAAGACATGAGCATAAAACTGTACAAAAGGCATTCAGGAGTCAAATCTGAGTGTGTCAAATATGGATTTTGGTGTTGATATATTTGAGGGTTGCAGGTTCTGCGCTTTTAACATTATTTTCTTGTCCAGTACTTCCTTATTGACTACATTGAGTTTTTGGACTTTTGTGGAAAAAACTGTTTTGGTTTGCATTTCCCATGTCTACCTGCATGACGGGGGGGCGACTGTGGCTAAGTGCCGTCTTTCAATCAGAGGGTCGGCGGTTCAATCCCCGGCTCCGGCTCTGCTAGTCGCGTGTGATTTGTGATTTTCGCATGTCCTTGAGCAAGACACTTAACCCCAGAAGTGCTCCCGTAGCTGTGCCTACGGTGAATTGTAAGTCGCTTTGGATAAAAGCGTCTGCTAAATGACTGTAATGTAATGACAGACTTGCATGTTTTGAGCCTTTGATAAGGTGTTGGATCAGACGGTCGGTCTGCCACTTTGATCCAGACCATAGACTGTATATGAATATGGACGACATGACAGCTCAAAGTGACATCTCAATCACCCTCTGGTGTCTGGCTGCAGTATAGGTCATTAATCCTGTTCCCTCCATGTTAGTGGAGGGGACATGGGCCAAACTAAAAAGTGAAAGTACACTTCAAAAAAGGTTGTCCCAAAAATAGTTTCTGTCATTTTAGGTAGTTCTTATCATGCAGATTTATGTTCAAGTGTTCATTTTTTCCTGTAAGTTTGGTGTAAATTCGTTATTTGATGCTATAAAAATGTTGTGAGACATCGTGATTGACAGCTGTGATTGACAGCTGCTCCGAGCGAAGTGGTCTCTGAGCCGTAAGCTCGGGAATTGTACGAGTGAGGAGATGTCATTTAAATTTTCCATAACCGTCACCAGTCTGTGGAATAGAACATGTGTCAATTTGATCATGAATGTAGTGAAAGACATACTATGGTTAGCTATCGTGTCTTTCTAGCCAAACAGCTACCGGGGTGCTAACTTAGCAGCTAGGTGGCTCACGCTAACAAGCCGCGGCTCGGTTCTTGATTAGCACTGTGCTAATCGCCAAATTAACATTGTAAACATTACTGCTAGCATTGCTGGAGACCGTTACTCTTGTTATTATTTGCTTGCATTGCATCGAAGTACCTCATTTAGAAGAGCAGTGCTCTTCTTGTGAAGTCTTATTCTTGCTGTCTTTCTGTCTGTCAAGGCTGCTAGAAGACAGACTCCCGTTGTCCCGAAGACATGAGACAGACATAATCTGCACCTTGACCTGACATGGATAGACAAGATGCTAACACCAATCAAGAAGGCGCTGTGATAGGTCGGAAAAGAGAAAGTTAGATGTGGCTGATGGAGAGATTGAGAGAGGGAAGCTCTATCGTCTTGGTGTCACCTGTCAGTCATTTGTCACGTCAAAAGCCCTTTCAAGTGTTGCTGTGCATTTTATCTGTCGTTCTCTTCTACCACACTGTCATTCTCTTTGAATTATCTCTTAGCATATAGAAGGACACAAGAGAGGCAGAGAGAAAGAGGGATGACAAGAATTCTTTCAACGAAACCCAGTTCAGTGTCTTTCAGGAAAAAGCAGGAGCTGCCATTCTTTTGATCTCTGTCCTTCGACATGGCTGTCTTTTTATCGTTTAGGCTCTTAGCAGTTGTTGTTGTTGTTTAGGTTTAGTTGTAGACCACCACAAAGGACAAGACAAAGGAACTTCCAAACGCTATTTGAAAATCATCTATAGATTTCAGCCTGTAGCTGTTGTTATTCATGTCAACCTACTTTTCATTTTATTTTCACTGTTTCTTATTCTGTCTGCTTTATTCTGTCTGACTTAAACAGGAAGCGTGCAATCAAACACCTCACCTTGCGCTAAAGGGGAAAGGTCTTGGGGTCATCAAATCAGATTAGTTAGTTAATTTTCAAAGCATGAATGTTCACATGGATGTCTGTTTAAGAGATATGCTCATTATAAAAGGGCAAGTCTGGTCTGAATGCGACACTGGGGAGAGGGCCATAGCAGAATGAAAAGCTTGAGCTTTCACTCTGGTCGTTAGTTTTTTAGATGTTTTGATCACACTCGCACTAAGTGGATGGCCAAATGGACAAAGGCAATCATATGGCCTCTGTTCCTTAACAGCAATAATTCAATGATCTGTTCTGTTCGTTGTCTTCCCATCAATGTCAGCTTTGTTTCTGTTTCCTTCACCTTGTTTACATCATGGAACAATCTATTTCGGAGCTTTCTGTCAGGGAGCTGTCAGCATGTCATCCAACTATCAGCTGCCTCTCTGCCACATATCATCATGAAGATGAAAGCTCGGGGATGTGATCTTATCCCTCATAAGCCTAAAAGAAGTGACAACAGCTTGGAGAGAATCCACTGACACGCACAGAGAAAGAAAGATAATTTTGGGAGATGTTTTTTTTCTAACAGACAGCAGTAAAAACAATATCTGAAGGAGGATTAGAGTATCTGTGTTCCTGTGCTTTGAACTGCCGACGGATGAAAAGATGTTTTTGACACCAGTGGTTGCAACAGATTGTGATGGATAATGGGGCCTGTAGTTGTCACTCTAAATGTTTTTATAGACAGCTTTGATACTACAGTTGTAAAGGCCCCATACAATAAGCCATGCAAAAGTGAATGCTATTTCTAGACTCATCCTCATTTTCATTCCCTGAAAAAAAATCACGATATACTGTAGCTGTATGTTTATTTATACATTGATTTATATAATATAAAGCACACTTGAAATTAGTTTTTGATTATAAAGGTAATATATTATGTTATGCTAGAGAAAGGCTCATCATTGTGTCCCATATTTGAATATGCAATAATACTTGCCTGAGAGTTTTCTGGGGATTATGGAGGATGGGGATATCCAATCAGACTAGCGCACAAGATTTACAGTACATGTTTTTTGTGATGATTCTTTTTTTCTAATTTATTTTCTTTGTATAAGTCTAGACTACCCTCATTTGCACTTTTTGCATGCAGTTAATGCCTTGTTACAAACATGACAATAATCACTCTGTCTTTACCATTCATCGACTTATTTTACACTATTGGTGGTTTATTTATTTAATTAATAGCTTCTTAGTTAAAGCTTCTTAAACACTTTTGGCTTGTCAGGTATAAAGGTACAATTCATAACATAAATAAAAAACTGCATTCATTAAGGTGAGCCATTTCCAGGGTCCTGGTATTTTGCGCACTGGCTCATAAAAAAGGTTTATAGTGTGCTAACCAACAGGTTGTGGTAAAGGTTTGAAGACTTGATTAGTAACCAATCATACACTTAGAGACAGTACATTTTTACTTGCATATATCAAACTGGCTAGCGATTTGTTATAAATTTCCTAAAAACATTTTCAATCATCTTTTAATACGATAAGAAATAAAGATTTGGAAAAAGGTGATTTCAAATAGTTCCACACCCCAGTCGAAATTTTGCAACAATTGAGTCAGAGTCTTTACATTTTAGCAGTTTTGTTAGTTAAATAGTTGTACTTCTGTAGTTACATTCAAATAATATTGTTATCATTTTAATCAAATTGTGTGTATTTTCCCCTCAGATGGAGCGCAGTGAGACGGTGTGTCGTTACTGTGGTGTGAGCTACCTCATCTTCCACGAGTTCCATCAGCTCCACACCCGACTGGCTCAGCTGGAGGAAGAGCTCCAGGGACTGAGAGAGAGCACCCAGAGAGAGAAGGCCCAGCGAGAGGCACTGGAGCTGGGCCGGTTGGAGTGGGAGAAAGCATTTCACCTGGAGGTGCAGCGACAGACAGTGGAGAAAGAGAAAAGCACAAGAGAAGAGCTGGAAGAGAGGCACAAAGATGCAGAGAGAGCTCTGAGAGAGGAGTTTAAACGAACGTGCGATGTGGAGAGGCAAAAGATAAAAGACGAGTGTCAGAACATCTGTGAAGAAAAAGAGAGCCGACTTAGAAGAGAGCTGGGAGAGCTACAGGCGGAGACACTGAGGGAGCAGCGAGAAGAGCTGGAGAGGACGACTGAGGAGAGAGAGAAAGTTCTGAGTGACGCACTTCAAAAGGCCAATAACAACTTAGAGGAATTAAGAAAATATCTCCAACAGCTGGAAGAGAGGTGAGGTTTGTATGCGTTTGTCTGTACTTTGCGTCCCTGGTGTGAAATGATCTCTAATGCCAGGCTTCATGTGGGCAATTATCCTGTGAGTCACGCTGCTAACACAAAAACACACTCTCAGACAAATCCCAGATATATCCAGCTGGTGTGTGTATGGAACTCTCTGACACAGACCTTGCTGTCTAATTATATGTTCCACTGTCATATTCAACGCCTCCGTCATCCAGTACCTAGAAAAGGAGAAATAGATATATGGGGCTTGGTAAAACGTCTAAGGAAGTGAGTTATTTGAGTAAAGTTGTACTGATTAAATCCCAAGTGATTCAATTTGATTTCTGGTAAACAAGACTGTTTTACAATATTTAATAGGCTTGTTTACTTGAATTGTTTTGCTCAACAACACAGGCACATGCACACTGTTGTAAGCAGGGCCTGACTGATTATGGGACGAAATAGTGTGTTAGTGAACACAATGTTTGACAAACATCCTCTTCATATTATTAGAGAATTGGAAATATCTTTGTTGCTTATATTTAGTAGAACCGCAGCAAAACTAGACCACATTGCTGCATTTTCACTATCAATCAATGTCCAGAAATGATACATGAGGGGGCAGAGGATCGACAAAAGTTTCACAATGAAACAAGAAAGTATATCTTGTAGGTGGATGCTAATTTAGTTTGTTTGCAACACTCTACATGCCAGACTTAAAAATTTGATATCTTGCTTCATTGTGCTGTTTTTTTATTTACTCATACAATGGTACTGGACTCCATGATGAGTACAAAAACGTTTTATGACTGAACAAAAGCTTTTGTTAAAAAGCACTGCAATGCTAATAAATGCTAACTTGTTTCTGCTAAGCCGGTAGTTCTTCTGCAGATGTGCGTTAGCTGCTTGCCGTTTGTAGACGCACCTCTAGTGGTAGCCCTTGTTAAAAGCTCTCATAATAGTAGCAGCCTGGGAGTGGTCTTAGATGGCATCGTGTGCAATGCAATCCTGGTTGTTGTAGGGTTTTCACCCAAGGCGTAATAGGTAAGTGCAGGTGTCGGTGGTGATACTACTTTTTAAGAAAGTACATTTTTTTGGTCTCATGCCTGTGAACACCTGTGAACTAATTTAAAGACTCATGAACAGCCGACCTAGCCGCAGCGCCTGGAGCTGGTCGCCAGTGATATCATTTAATTACACAGTGACACAAAAAATGTTGTGAAACGTGATTGTAGTCAAAGTTTTCCACATATTTCAAAATTATATTATATCAACCCAATGTCTTATTCATCAAAGAAAAACATTTTCCAAAAAAAACCAATACAAAATGGTAACATATGACATGATCACAGGATGATGAAAGGAGATGCGTTAGATATTCAGTATGTATACATGTACTATATAGTAGGTTCTCAGCCACGAGCCCAATGTTTGGGAGGAAAGTACAAAGGCATGTGAAGGATGACTTGTTTTCTGTTTGCGTGTACTGTACAGGCCACAGCCGGTATGCTCATATGGCTAGCTGGGGGTTTCAGGTTGTCCGTATGTTGCTATGTGTATGGTAGACTGGTGAGCCAATCCACTATCTGCTCTAATGCAAGCTGATTATCTCTCACTGCCTCTTTATTGAGCCCAAAACACACGCAAACACACACACACACACACACACACTGCACTCAGTTGTGCTCTGGAACCTTGGGGCTAAGCGTGGGTCAGGAGGTCACAGTTCAGTCAGATAACGATGCACGACACAATGAGGTGTGAGAGGCCAGCATGGACTAACAGCAGTGGACTCCCTCTCCTGCTCTTCCGCTCTTCATTCGTTTATTTTTCATTTCCTTCTTCTTTCATTTCTTTTATTCTATCTTTAATGTTGCGTCTCTGATCTGCCATCTCTGCATATATCTCAATGCTCATTTACTTTCAAATATGCAGCATTTCTTTTTATTTTATTTGAATGTATCCATCTTATGATGATTATAAACCAACTTGCTCTTTATACTCTTTTGCTCTTCTCTTTTTTCTCTCTGTCGAGCCCCGATCACTCACACCGGCAATTTGCCATAACTTTGCTGCAAATGTACACCTTCACCCACACAGGTGGTAATGAACAGATTAAAAGAGTGAGGGAGAGAAAAGGAGAAAGATAGCATGCGAGTGGGAGTTAATGAGGATGTTCTGAATGGCTGGCTACACAGCAGGAGTGTGAGTTTGTTATGTGAGATGCCTTTATGATTGACAGCCCCCCCCCGCCCCCTTCCTTTCTGCGAGACTTAATAGAGCTTTTGTTGGGAGATTATGTAATTTACCATAAAAGAACAATAGATTTTTTTTAAATGAGGAACGTTAAGGTTTCTAGCCAGCAGGATACTTTTTTCTGATGCTGTTTTTGGACTTGTACCAGTTCTTTAGAGAGCCTGATAATGACCTACACCCGGACATACAACTACAACAAAACCCCCACACACACAGGTTGTCCTGCTTTCTTCTGATTTAGCTGTTTGATCCTGTGTTTGTCTGACAGGACGAGAGGAGTGGTTGTGGTGTGTGTGTGTGTGTGTGTGTGTGTGTGTGTGTGTGTGTGTGTGTGGGGGGGGGTGGGTGCAAGTGGGTGGTTGCAAGTGTTTTTGTGTGGATGACAGGTTTATGACAGAAGATAGCAAGGGGAGAAGGGTAGTAATGTGCAGAGTGCAATTAAGCCTGATTTTAAAATGCCACCTGCTAGACAAGTTCAAACACAGATGAGCAGGAGATATGTTGATCTGCTGAAGAGAAAGAAAGGTGAAGGGAAGGAGAGAGTGATGAGAGAAATAGACATAGTCACGTCATATTAGAGTTTGCCAGTTTTTGTAAATGCCGTTTACGTCAGCCTCCCAGTCGTTATTTTGACTTTGATATGGCATTCAACTTGATGCCAAAGTTTGTCAGAGGCAAATAGACGAGATTGTCTCACGTTGTCCATCAATCAAAATAATAACACAGAGATAGTAATGCGATGCGAATACTAACTGGTAAATTGACACTATTATTTGCCCTCACATGTGCAAAACTCAACATTACTATTCAACCAGGGTGTGAACTACGCACATTCACAAATAGGAACACTGGCATTGGTCAAAATTTGGAGCAAATGCTAAAATAAAAAATGGAAATAAGGAAATAGAAGTGATAAACACAACATTAGAAGGCAGCGGACAATAAGAGGGTTTTAAGCCAACACATGTTCTAAGGATCTAAGAGCTGTTTCATATTGTACAAGCAGGTCAGTAATATATCATGTGTTTTGCTCGCTTTATCTTTTTAAGCAGCAGCTTCTGAACAATTGCAGGACTTTTTTCTTTGGGGATTAAACCAGGAACTAGATCATAAAAGTAATCTAACTGCCTGGTGATGAAGGCACGTATTAGTTTTTTTTCTAGGTCAGCTGTAGACAAGAGGTCTCTTTAGGTCACAGTCTATGTCGACCTCTCCCAGATTCCTGCGCAAAGCACACCCTGTTTACACAGAACACTTAATTCTGTTGTCCACCACAAATATGCTTTTATTTGAATCAATACAGGACTGACGCTGCTGCAGTTCCACTGGCGATGTGCTGCTCTTGCCACACTATGATACACCTGTTATTTCAAGGTGTCAGACGCATTTGATCAGCATTTCATATCATATGCTGTTCACCTCATTTTCTAGTTGTTGCTACAGGCTGTGAACATTAATTAGGCTGCCACTCAAAACAGTTTTTGCCCTCTCAGCCAATAAAACGTGATTACAAAGTGTAGTTACTCGTAATCGTTAAAAAGCTAAATCTAAATTCGTTTTATTCAGACTTTGATGAGTGGATTCTTTACTGGATTCGGCATACACTTGTCAAGGTTTAATCCCGGCTTGTCATCACAGTTTGAGCCTTCCTAAATACACCCATTTGGTACGCGTTCTCTTTCTGTCTCTCTGTTTAGATTAGTTGTTGGGTAATGTCAGCCACTAGAAGACATTGACAAACAGGACAGAGAGTTCATCTAACTGGAGACAGGTTGAAACATATCATGCAACTTGTGCACATCTTATCGCATTGAGAGACATGTCTGGGAATTTAATACACTCTGTTTGCTCTCCTTGGCAGCTGGTCTCAGTCTGGATCCAAACAGTTACTCTGGGTGTGAGTCTGTTTGCGTCTGTACCCGACTGTGTCTGTGTGTGTAATGCATATTCATTTGTGTGAGTGTGCATGCGCAGTGAAACAAATTATACCTGGCAGTTATGAAGAATAAATCATAGAAATGTGTGAGAGCACACACACACACACACACACACCCACACACACACCTGACCTGGGGCTGGATTGTAACAGTGATAAGAAGACTTGCAGGTGTGAGAGTGGGAGTGAAGTAGACACAAATGCATGACAAATAGAAAGGCATCCATTTGTAACAAGAAAGTGCTTTATGGCAAATTAGTTTTGTACTGATGTGGGTTTATTTTAATGTCTGGTTTCCATGAGCAACCCTGGAAACAATACACAAATCACCATATTCTCTCTCCCTCTCTGTGTGTGTTTGTTATGTAATATGTAAAGTCTAGCAGGGTCAAAC